GTGCTTTCCTTCTCCAGCACATTTTACACATGAGGAAAGTAGGGCAAACAGGGCTATGTGACTTGCCCAGGGTCACACACCTAGGAAGTTCCAAGTGAACTCCAGGCCCTATCCACTTTGTTAGCCTAGCTGCCCCGATGCTTATGTTACAGATATTGAAAATGAAAGCAAGAGAGGTGAATTCAATTAAACATTTATTAAACACCTTCTATGTGCCAGGTACTGTATTAAATGCTACGGATATTGGAAAAAATGAAAATAATTCTCACCCTCAAGGAGTTTCCCTTCTACAAGAAGAGCAAGGAGAGGGACAACGTGTACAGAGACTTTTAGACAACAAAATAAAGTTTCTTAATTGCCAGAGCTAGTCTTCTCTCTAATCAGTTGGCTCTCTTCTTTGCAGCTGAATATTTAGAGTACGAGGACTTGAGTCAGGAAGACCTGAGCTCAAATCCAGCCTCAGACACTTACTAACTATATGGAAGCCATTTAACCTTGTCTGCCTCAGTTTTCCCAACTGTAAAATAGGGACAATAATAGCTCCTACCTTCCCAGCATTGTTGTGAGAATCAAATGAAATAATATTTCTACAGCACTTTAGCACAGTTTCTGGTAAACAAGAGACAATAATAAGTACTTTATTTGCTTCCTTCCAGGAGCTATACTCTTTAGAAACTGCTCCTTCCCTCAGGTGACTTTTTCTCTGTGTCAGTGTCTTAGTGGAGACTGCATATGTGGTGCTCTCTCACACATTTGCCTCAAACTCTCCACGACTAATTAATTTCTGAATTATAGGTGTCTCCTCCTGGACAAGTATCTGTACTTCAAAATGCCACCTATGGGACCAAAATTCAAATAATGGGGAGGGGGGGGCAGGGAGAAAAATTCTGTCCCCTCCCCCTGCTGCCTGCTGGTATCTACAGGTGTCAACAATCCACAAAGTTGCTAGCTGTCTGGACTCAGTGTGTGTTAGTGTGCTCAGCCTTTTAAGGGGCTGCCCAGGATATGGCCAATCATTCTTAGTCAATAGTATTCTGCTCCTTTCAATACAATCAAGGAGAAACCTGTTCATGCTCTGCAAAGGGGATGACATGGTGAGAGGCTTCCTCATTACATTTAGTTTAATACTTTGCTATATACCATCTACTTTTTATGACTAGATCACCAGGGGTTGGAAGGACTGACCTTTGCCTTTCTTTGTATCCTCAGAACTGGCGCATAGTAGGCACTTAATAAAGCTAGGTGATCACCTGACAAAAGAGATAATGGGCATTCCAAGTGCTACTCTGGATCCCCCAAGTTATTAAAAAGAATCAGAGGAAGGTCTCCAATACATTGGTCGAGTATAACAATCTTTGGAGGATATGGAGGAAGATCATGTAGAAAAAGAAGGTGTGGAAAGGTAATTTTATACACACACACACACACACGTGTATATATAATGCACACATGTATATAAAACTATATTTATATACACACAATACACATATGTATACATACATATATACATACACTTTCCCATATATATACTTTTAACATATACATATACACATAAACACACATATATACACACATATCAATCTATATATGAAAATCCCATACTTAAGAGGTGACAGAGTCATCCATCCATATCTAAGGAAGCAAACTTTAACATCTCTGTGCTGCCTTAGCAGCATGTGCTTTGTGAAGCATTTTACAAATAGTTACACAGAATTTGCTACTGATTTAGACTACTGCAATATGCTTCTGGTTGGGCTCTCTGCCTCAAATCTCTATTACTCCATTCCATCCTCCACACCAAAGAGATTTTCCTCAAGTATAGGTATGACTATGTCACAACACTCCCACTCAGACTTTAATGGTTCCCCATTACCCCCAGGATCAAATATAAAGTGCTTTTTTTCCAGCATCTAAATTTCTTCCCAACCTAGCACCCTTTTGCCCTTCTAGTCTTCTTATACATTCCTGCCCTCCATTAACATTACAATATAGGCATACCACCTTACTTATTATTTCTCACATATGACAGACACTTCATTTCCCAAAATTATACTTGGACTATGTTCCCTCTTCAATTCTGCCTCTTAAAATTCCTGGCTTCCTTCAAGACTCACTCAGCTCAAATACCACCTTCTACAGGCCTTTTCCTATTCTTCCCCCTCTCCCATCAGGCACTAATGCCTTCCATTCTCAGTTTGCCTTCCACTTCCTCTATATGTATCTTGCACATAGCTATTTATTTACATACTCTGTATGTATACTGTATTACCTATTTATTATAGGTGTCTCCTACCTTAGAAAGAGCAAGGCTTTTGTAGTCAAGCTTTCCTTCTTTCTTTTTTTTTTCTTTTGTATTCCCTATCACTAACCTTTGGAATCAGCCTTCCTCTTCAGCTCCTTTCCCCTTTCCACTGTCACAAGGCATTTGTATCCTTAAGTGAGGACAAATGGGAAGGAGTCACACCTGAGTCACTATGCTCAGAAACCTTTTGGTCTGGGAGTGTGACATGGAAAGGGGAAAGAACTATTCCCAGGTGGATTTCTAGTTTCTTTCCCTTTATACCTGACATCCTATTCCTTCTAGGCTCTGGTTCTGAGCATGACATATAACATGCCCCCACCTAACTCTTCCTCTTTACTTCTCACGGCTGGGCAATCCATAATTTCTTGTTGGATTGGGGTGTCATGGGGTATCTTGTAGCTCAACAACATGCCACAAGTCTGAGAACACTTAAGTATTTAAATTTTCAGGTGTTAATTCATTAGAAGAGGAGAGGTAGGTGGCAGTTCCATTTTCTTGGACGTGAATTCAGTCTGTTCACCAGTGATGACTATATTTGGCACATAATTCCTTTTTTATTTTTATTTTAATTTTTTAGCTGTTATGATTGGGAAATTTGGAGAAAATGACTCTTCAGCCACCTCGATGATCTCCAGATCCAATCTCTGCCTCTATTGTTTACTCAAGTGCCATAGCATAACTGAACAAAGACTGCACCTGGCATCAGGAGAGCTAGAGTTGCCTCTGCTCTTGCTTAACAATGTTATTTTAAGTGGCAAGTGTAATCTCTACCAAAGTTCCACCATTCTTAAGTAACAGTGCCCAGCATCCAAAGACAGATCTCTCTTGTGCCTCGTTCAGCATTTTTTCCACTAAGTGAAGTTTCATCAAAAGAATTTCCCTAAAGTAAACTTGCAATTGAGAGCCTTCACCCCAGTGATTGTGACAGTGGTTTTATGAGTGAGGCTTAACCCATTCTCTGAGAAGCAGTTCTCGTAATGTGGTCCAGGGACTGCTGGGCGTTCTGGAGACCATTCTGGGGGTCCATGAGGTTAAAAAACTATTTTCATAAAAATACTAACATGTTTTAATTTCTGATATAGTAAAGATAGATAGATATAACCCACAAAAAACAAAAGTTTTGCAGGCAGAAGGGAAGGATAGATATCTGCAATAGTAGTTAAGAGTATAAAGGTGTCCTGAGACCAAAAAGTTTGAGAACCACAGGCTTTGAAACATTGCCTATGAGCCAATTTATCCCCACCAACTTATATTTTTGTTTCTTGCAGTTTGGGGACATTACTCTTCCTACTCTAGTGCACACCCAGGGCTTGTGTTTCCCAGTTTCTATTACCTCATTCACTTTCCCTTTCTCCTACCTAAACAAAAAAAAAAATCCCAATCAGTATCTTATTTTTATTGTGTTACATTATCCTGCAGCATAATTATTTTAATGAGATTCTAGCCCATTAAAGTCCTTAACAATGAGGCACCAGCTTAGTTGAATCACTTCCATGAGCACTCTGGGGGAGGAAGAGGAAGAGGGCTTTCTTCATGAGTCTTCTCCATCCCTCATCAATCCAATCAGCTGCCAAATCCTATTAATCCTACTTTCATAATCTGACTCTCAAAGCTTTCCATTCCCACAGTCTCTATTCTCATTACTTCTCAATAGGACTATCACAACAGGTTCCCGGTTGGCCTCCCTGAGTATAATCTTCCCCCTCTCCCATCCTTCACAACAACTAGCAAGATAACCCTCTTTATGCACACGTAATCAAACACTGCTCCTCTGCTGAAAAACCATTAATGTTTCCCCAGTACCAAATTCTTTGAGTCTGGCTATGAAGTTCTCTCTGTGGTCTGGGTCTAAACTATCTCTCCAGACTTACTTCATGGTACTCCTCTCTCTGTCTCTCTGTCTCTCTCTCTCTCTCTCTCGCTCTCTCTGTCTGTCTGTCTGTCTCTCTCTCTCTCTCTCTCTCTCTCTCTCTCTCTCTCTCTCTCTCTCTCTCTCTCTCTCACACACACACACACACACACACACACACACACACACACACAGTCAAACTGGACTACCACTCATTTTCTGACCTTTTCCACTCTTTTACTCTCTTATTTTATGCAATCTCCCATATCTAGAACCAACTCCTCTCCTTATCTATCTATTGAAATCCTTTTCTTCTTTTAAGACCCAGATGATCTATCATCCACTCATTGAGACAGTCTTCCAGGATACTCCGAGTAGAGAACCTAATCTCTCAAGCTTCTCTATTTAACCCCTTCCTGTGCACTTTTCTCATTTTTATTTGTAGTTTGGTTATTTGTAAACAAAACAAAACAAAACATTATCATCCCAGCTTAACTGTAAACTCCATGAGGTCTGGGTTAGTTCTCAACTTTGTATCCTTAATATACACCTGTTGAAATGAATCCGATTGTTTTTCATATATTCTATTCTCCTACACACAAATCCTACAGTAGAGTATGTCATCATGTAGAACCTTTATCAGACTGCTTGCTTTTTCAATGATGGGAGAGAGGAAGGAGGATGGGAGCGAATTTGGAACTCAAAATTGTAAAAAATGAAGGTCAAAAATTGCTTTTAGATGGAATTGGGGAAAATAAAAATATTGAAATTTTAAAAATTTAAAGTATGTCATCGGAAGTTAATAACAAAGTCACCCTCAACTTTCACCTGGAATGTTGTCCACCATACCTTGAGTCCTCTGAAGCTTCCTGGACTGGTTGGAGAAGAACTGGAGGATTTTGTTGATTTGGGAGTGGAAAGCTGACTGCTGGGAGTTCCATTAACTGATTACACAATAGCAAAGCAAGAAAACAAAGAGAGAAGGGTTATTAGAATACAAAATCATCAGGTTCTTCTAAAATATTAATTATACACATGCTCTACTACTTAACAACAAAGCTCAAAGCAGGCTTCAAACCAGCACTAAAGGTATTAATCTGATATGGCACCTCATAATACAGCAGAGCTGGTAATTCAGTTTTGTTGAATTGGTTAAATGAGAAGGATAGGGTCAGTCTACTACAAAACTAGTTTCAAAGATCTTGGTATCTCAATCAGAAAAATAGGCTTAGAGATCAAAGAATCTTAGAGACTAGCAATTTCTTAGGATATTATCTAGTCCAGGGCTGTCAAACTCAAATAGAAATCAATCCCTGTATGGGACATCTAGGTGGCACAGTGGATAGAGCTCTGGCCTTGGAGTCAGGAGGACCTGAGTTCAAATATGACCTCAGACACATAACACTTACTAGCTGTGTGACTCTAGGCAAGTCACTTAACCTTAATTGCCTCAAAAAAAAAATCAACCCCTGTAGCTGCATACTGACTTGAAAAACCACAAAATGATATTATCTATGTTGTATTGCATTTTTATTTATCTTGTTAAGCATTTCCCAATTACATTTTAATCTAGTTCTGGCTGCACTTGGAATTTTGTAGTGCCCAACCACGAGTTTGACACCTCTGATCTAGTCCATCCATCTTTCTCTAAGCAAAGCTATATTTAGATGCAGCTGCCATTTTTCTGGAGGCCTATAGAAAAAGAAATTAGGAGCTAGTTTTAGCAGGAAATCCAAGGGAATGTTATACCTCTATGGTGGGGTGCAGAGAAGAAAAGGTGTGTTTTCCTCTTTAAGTCCTAGAGGAATATATGTGGAGTAGTGAGGGAGGAAGGGGATGCCTGCCTAGACAGCCAGTAGATCACCCCTCTGATCCACTGATCCTTATACTATGTCCACTGCTCCTTAAGCTATGTCAAGAGAACTACAGGAAGGACCTAGCACTCTGTTGGGGATTCATGGAAATACAGAGACAAGATGAGAAGGCATGGATGGGTTATCCGCATTGTTGGAGAAAACACTCACATGAATCTGATCGCACATTCATAGAAGGATTTAAATATGAGAAGAAATGTTCCACAGCAATGGTACTTTAGTGTTCACCAACCTGCAATAATCAGAAGTTCTTACAACTATTCCCTAATACTGTCAAGGGTACCACCATCCCCTCAGTTACTTAGGTTTGCAACTTAGGTGTTATCCTCTATTGTGTACTCTCTGACCACTATAACCAATTTGTTTCCAAGTCCTGCCATTTCTACCTTCAAAATACCCCCAAGGGGCAGCTAGGTGGCACAGCGGATAGAGCACCAGCCCTGGATTTAGGAGGACCCCAGTTCAAATACAGCCTCAGACACATAACACTTACTAGCTGTATGACCTCAGGCAAGTCATTTTACCCCACTGCCTAGCCAAAAAAAAAAAAAGAAAAGAAAAAAAAATACCTCCAGTATGCACTCTTTCCTCTCCTCTATCACGGCCGCCATCCTGGTGAAAGCCATGAAGTGCAGAGCTGACCAGGTCATTCCTCTATTGAATAAACTCTAGTGGCTCTCAATTACTCCCAAGATCAAATATTAAATCTTTTTTAAAAGGCTTTTAAAGCCTTGCATAACCTGCCTTTCCACTCTTCTTACACCTCACTCCCTTCTACCTACTCTAAGACCAATCTCCTTGTTCCTCACACAAGACTATCTACCTCACTTTGTGCATTTTCCCTGGTGGCTCCCTGCCCCTGGAATGCTCTCCCTTGTCTCAAGTCTCAGCTAAAATCTCCCCTGCTGTAAGAAACCTTTCCCAAAGCTATCCACCTCCAGATAGAGAACTGATGGACTCACAATGCAAACTGAAGCATTCTTTTTTCCTTTTTCTAATTTTTCTGAAACATGGCTAATGTGGAAATATATTTTGCTTAGCTTCATATGTATAATGGGTATCATATTTCTTACCATTTCAATCAATGGAGGAAGGGGTGGAGTAAAGAAGTAGAATTTGTAACTGTGTTTTTGCCTCTCTTTGTATCCCCAGTTCTTAGTATAATGCTTGACTCATATTAAGGGCTTAATAAATGCTTATCAGCTTGACTTGAGCAAAACTCAAATCCCTCCCCTTATAATTAAGATCAGTCTTTTCTATCCTTGGTGGAAAGGAAAACAGCTGGCTATTTTTGTTTTAATGACTGTCAATATGAAAACTACTAGTCATGCCTCAACTCCTCAGATAAGTTATTGCTAATTCCTATCATTTTTCCCTTCTTAGGTTCTACAGCCTCATGATTTTAAAAAAAGCTTTTTTTTTTAGCACTTCTATCCAAATCTGTTCTAAATGGTAAACCCCAAATTAGATACTCCTATAGGAAAGTTCTGGTGGCTACCTTTTATCACATCCCATCCCTGCTTTCCTCAAGTGCACAAATTCCTTTACAGCATATCATTCACCACGATCCCAAGATCCTGCTCTACTATAATCACATAAAAATAGTGGCAAACCAGCTTCCATGTGCATAATTGGGGTTCTCCCCTCCTCTGAATATGTTCACCTATCATTTTATTTTGCTTATTTTGCTTATTCCTCAATGTGTCTTTCTTCACCACAGCAGAAACCTCATTCTGCTATCTGTCACTAAGGCTTAGAGAGCTATGATCTTAGTGAAGTATCCATGACTGCTTCTAGCAATTTCCCAATGTTCTACCTAGGTTCTCCTCATAATCTTGTCTTCTCTCATATAAGTGATGACAGATAATGTAAAGAATGACACAACAGTCATCTAAATTCTATTTGTCTCATTCTGGAAGCACAATCACAGATTGATGTCAATCGTGTTTTTAAATGTTTAAATAACTTACATAAGTGTTGGCAGCTTAATTGGCCATTTAAATTTCAACTTATAACTGAACATTTGCACCCTTCTATTGAAGAGACGATTACTTGCCGTTTTTCAAGAATAATTGTTTCTGGTTAGGTGAAATGGTCTTGAGAAACTTCAATCTTATTATTTTCATTTCTTCCTCCTTCAGGAATCACACAGTACTAATCATTCATTTTCTTAATTACAAAAACACCAATAATTTTTAAAGTCAAAAACTGTTTTGTTTTTTAAAAAAATCAGCTACAAGCTAACTAGATTACAAAGCTACTAAGAACTCATTAGTTTACATTTGTTCTAAGTTTCTAGCATGGGAACTACATAAACTAATACAGCTCAAAACTTATCTATGGCTTAGTAAACAATTCCTGCGGTATGGAACATCAACTCATGCTATCTACAGTGATGTCAAACTCAAAACAGAAACAGGGGCCACTCAGCTACACCTAAGGATCTCTATGGACTGCATATTGACTTAGTTTTAAAATGTAACAATATCTTGTTGAATTTTTTTTTTAATATTTCCCAATTATATTTTAATCTGGTTTAGACCACATTTGGGAGTGTTGGGGACCTCATGTTTGACATATCTGTGCTAAAATTATACTGGCAAATCTAAAATGGAATTACTAGTATTATCTAATTTTAAAAAACCTCATTGCTACTGATCATCTTTCTAGCAAGTCTGGGCATAAGCATATCTGATATTAGCAGAGTAAACAAAACTGGTCTGATTATTTCTCTGAGACCAGACGATTCTAGTTACAAAAGAAAAATGTCTAAGAAGGCTCTTTTGAAAACTTCCAGTCTAGGGTGCAGCTAAATGGCACAGTGGATAAAGCGTCAGCCTTAGAGTCAGGAGGTCTTGAGTTCAAATCCAACCGCAGACACTTGACACTAGCTGTGTGAGCTGGGCAAGTCACAACCCCCTTGCCTAGACCAAAAAAAAAGAAAAATTCCAAGTCTGGTGACAGAAATTCATATGAAATAAGTATTATATGGAAAAAAAATCCTTGAGGGTAGATAGCACCTCCCCTGCACTTGCTCAACAACACTTGGTGGGTTTTCATTGACGTATGTTCAGAAACTAAATTTGTCTTGCTAGGTAACTTTGGAAGGATATGAGAAACTAGAAGTAAATCAGTGATTCCTGTGACCTACTGTTTTCCCCAAATAGTTATTTCTAATTTTAAAAAAATTTCCAGGTCCTATTTTCCCCAAATACTTCACAAATTTTAATAACTTAATATTCAAACCATGCCTACGCAGTTTTCTAATAAAACTCATAGCTAGTGATTTTTTTTGTTCAGTTATTTGAGTCATGCCCAACTCTTCATTACCCCATTTGGGGGTTCCTTGGCAAAGATACTGGAGTGGTTTGCCATTTCCTTCTCCACTCATTTCACAGATTAGGAAACTGAGGCAAACAGAGTTTAGTGAGTTGCCCAGGGTCACAGAGCTAGTAAGTATCTGAGGCTGGATTTGAACTCAGGAAGATGAATCTTCCTGACTCCAGACCTGGCACTCTAGCCACTGCTCTAACCAGCAGTTACCCTGATTTTACTGATAATTGCTACTAAATCATAGCATCATAGACTTAGAGCTATAAGAAGTCTAAGAGATTCCCCTAATCCAATCCTCTCATTTTTATATGAGGAAACCAAGGCTTCATAAACCCGACATCACAGAGGCAATAAATAACTGAGCTGAGATTCAAACCCAGGGCTTCTGACCCTAAACCTAACACTCTATTCCCTAGACAGTGATAGAATAGATAGAGCACTGAGGCTAAGGTCAGGAGATCAAATCCAACTTCTGACACTTATTAGCTGTGTGATCCTGAGCAAGTCATTTAATCTCTGCTTCCCTCAGTTTCCTCAACTGTAAAATGGGGATAACAATAAAGAACCATCTACCTCCAGGTTCATTAGAAGTATCAAATGAGATAATTGTGACATGCTTAGCCCAGTGCCTGGCACACAGTAGGGCTTAACAAACTCTTAAATCCCTCCTTCTCAAACATAATTCTCTCTTGGAAAAAATCATTAAGTCATATATATTACATATATGGACACTATACTGGACACTATAATAATAGTTACTATCTAAACTAACATATAGCACATCCTCTGTGTAGCTTGGCATTGGTAAATGTTTACTGACAGAAAATAGACTTAACAGCTTATATGTCTTCTCCTTGGGGACTATTTCCCCATTTCTCCATTCTCAAAGAATCAGGTTTATTTTTTTCACCTTTAAACAATTTCTTCCCTGGTAGAACATAAGGTTTCCTAAGTCCTATTGTTGCAACCTAAAGAAAGCAAATTTAATGCTTCCTAAAACTAATTCTGTAGGTGCTTACCCGTCTGCATTTATCTAGACTACAAATTTTAGGTGCTTGTTAGGCATTAAACTGCAAAGCTTTTCTTGGAAGGGCAGAGGGGGAGGTAGATCTCTATTTAGGAGATTAAAAACGTAGACAACCTCACCCGTAGCAGTATTTTTGATCTAAGTTAAAATCCTATTCCATCCTGCCACAGTCACATGATTACTATTTATCTCTGAAATTCTGATTATTCCATGACTCAATTACGGATCCTTTATGAAAGGAACTGCTAATGCAGCCTGTCAGGGTACACTATGTAAGTGAGGGAATGCCCTGTGATTTCTCCTATTTATGGAGATCAGGTCACATAATTTGTTTACCTGCCTTCGTACCTAAGTCCTATTAGCTACCTGAGGCACCTAAGGTCAAGACACTTGCCTCGAGTCATACACCTCTAAGTGTCAGAAGTAGGATTCGAACTCAGGTCTTCTTGACTACAAAGCCAACATCTCTCCCCTAGTACTTGCTTTGGAAGCATACATAACACAATTTCTCTATAGTGAAGGCACATCATATTTCAGAATACAGGCAGCTAGGGGGCACAGTGGACAGAGTATTAGACCTGGAGTCAGGAAGACCCAAGTTTAAATCCATCCTCAGAAACTTACCAGCTATGTGACTCTGGGGAAGTTACTTAACCTCTATTTGCTTCAATTTCCTTAACTATAAAATGGGAAGAATAATAACATCTACTTCCCAGGGTTGTTGGGAGGATCAAATGAAACGCTTAACACAGTGCTTGGCAAACAGCAGGTACTCAATAAATGCGTGTTTCCGGAAATAATCCATATCATGGCATAATGTCTCTCTCAGGCCACTTGTCTCACCTTTTTTTTAGCTATAAAATATCAAAGTAAGGAGGAGGGAAATTATTCAAATATAATAAAACTATATTTAAATCCCAATCACAAAAACTTAGTTTTTTGACTTACCCAGACAATTGATGTGCTGAATAGGCATTAGAGTAACTTCTAAATAAAGAAGATCCAGCATATGCTGAGTGAAATTTAAAATTCTACAATAGTTTACGTTATGAGTAGACTATCTTATCTACTCTATTGACCTCAGTCCAAGTTTTGAAACCAGACTGAAATGTTGAGTACCTGCAGACCTTGTGTTATTTCAGAAGGTTTTTGTTATTTATAATCCAACTTCTTCTAACTTGTGTGGACCTCATCTTGGGATGGTTGATTTAGAGGACAAACACACTATGAATCATGTTTCCAGTTAAAAAGAAAAAGGCCATTCGTATTTGCAAACACTCTCACAGATTTAGATAACAGAGGCTTCTCTGCTCTTGTTGTTATGAGACTTCCCCAGTCTGTACAAACACTTTCTCAATTCTATTTTAGATAATTCTTTTTTTTTTTTAATAGAATGTAAGATCCTAAGTTTAACCGTTTTCTGTCATTCCCTTAAACATACATCTGTTTCTAGGTGCTACAGGGCTTAGAACCAAACTAGTATATTGCTTCTAAGGCTCTGTTGCAAAAGGCAAGCAAATTTTATTTAAATGGCTTTTACTGATCACTTTCCAGATGCTTTAAAAGAAAATGTGTGTGTGTGTATGTGTGTGTGTGTGTGTGTGTGTGTGTGTGTGTGTGTGTGTGTGTAGAAAGATAGATATGTATATGTGTGTGTGTATCTATCTATAATGGATATCATGTTTCTTACCATCTCAATAGGGGAGGGGATAGAGAAAAGAGGCAGAATTTGTAACTGAAAATAAAAATTTTATTTTTATTAGAAGCCCTGTGGAGTGGGATGCTGGGTAGGGCTAGCTGTGCATCTTAACTCATTTTTGACTAGAAGTAGTGCGTGTGCATGCGCACGCGCACACACGCACACACACACACACACACACACACACACAGAGCTCTAGGCATCCAAAATCCTAGCTGTATTTTGCACTGTGCAGACAGACGGACGCCCACTAGAACAAGCTCAGATGCATTCATGGAAATGGAGAGAAAGAGAATGGAACAGCAGCGGCGGCGGCAGAAGCAGCAGCATCACAACCCTAGTGACAGTGGCTCACCTGGGGGTTTAGTGTAGAATGAGCAGTGGAGTAGAGGCCACCCCTCTTTACTGTACACATTCAGTACAAACAAAGGAGGAAACATTAAGGAAAATAGTTATTCAATAGATCTAAACATGCATAAAGACAGATAGAAAGAAGGGTATAACAACCAAAGCACCAAAGAGAGGGGGGAGGGAAGGGAGAAAGAAGAGGGGGAAGAGAGGTAAGAGCAAGTCAAGTCCAAAGGTCAATGTCTTGTTTTCACAAACTCTTGAGGATCAAGGCAGGTTCTGGGGATACCACCAAGAAAACGGTGACACAGTTTTTGCCTTTTCTTGTCTTGCCATCATGTGTTTTTGTTTGCTTTTCAAGGTTTCTTCACTTCATTCGGTAACACTTGCAGACTTTCAAATTGGTTCTCCTGCATTACCGAAAAGGAACCCCCACACATCAAAGCCAGTCATATTGGTCTTAATGTGGATTTAATTTTAGAATGGTTTTGCAGTGGCAGGAGCTAAAAAGGAGGCAGCCATAAGATTAGCGTCAATCTAGACAGAGGGCTCCGGGCTGAAAGAAATACAGCTGAGGCTTGTTTGTTTTTAATAAAAATTAAAAAATAGTAATGGTGTTTTAAGCATTGCTTTTCTGAACTATAACAGTACTACTAAAGAAGCTGATGTGGGAAAAACCAGGAAAAATTTAGCAAGCTAATATTTTGGGGGTGAACAGATTGGTCTTTCATAGAATTGACAACACTGAGGGATAGTACACATTTTTACAATCCTTGTTATGCTAAGACCAGGAGAAGACACTACTCAGTGATAAATGCTATACTTCACAGAACGTCCGAATAAAAATTAGCATCTTCCTCAGAAGAGAAATTAACAGCTTTGGCTAATACACTTTACTTTTCAGGGAGTTTTGGTTTTTTAAAAACATTAACTGGATACTATCCTTGCTAATGACTGTTACTTGTTTCCTATGAGTAAAGGTTTATTTTGGGGTACTTTTTATCGGTAAATTTTGGGTACTTCCACATCTGTTACATAGAGATGCACTTATGAAAACTCAAAGGGAAACCCCAAGAGGTTTTCAGTGTAATGAATGAATAGTTACAAAAATCCTACAACCATCACTGGAAATTCCAAACGTAGAACATGAACCTTCAATGTGAATTTCCTCAGCTTCAAATCCTCTCTTTTATTTTCGGAAAGTGTAATATGAGGACCTGTCAAACTCATGTGAGTAAAATGCATAAATACTATTTTCTTAGGTTCTTCTCACTCACAAAGTTGAACTTCATTTCAAGGCAAGGATATCCCCCCTGTAAAAGCAGGAAAAAGATACCCAACAAATATCCAACGTTCTGAACACCCACTCCTTTTTCATTAGTACCTGAGGCAGGTGATTTGCTGCGACGTGAAAGCCCAGGACTTTTGGATCCAGACTGCTTAGTTGTACCATGGGAACGAGAATATGATGACTTCAAGACACGGCACTCTAGTGAGGAACAGATGGAGTTTTAAATATATCTGGTTTCAGAACTAGACCCAAAGCAAATCATGGACAGTGGAAATTTACTGTGCTGGAAACCCAGCTTGACATTTCCTTATTATTGTTAAGCAACATTAATAAAAAAAGCAAGTATCACAAGACTAACAACGTTAGAACCACAAATCATACTTGAATTTATCTTCTGTTGGGCTGGTGCTGCTAACGTAAGAGGTAATGTACTTTTTCCTTGACCTATTCCATATTAAAAAAAAAAATTAATCCCAGGCATGGAAAAAGTGAAATGGAAGGAGACAGAAAGACTTTGTCCAATGTTTCACCTGGTTCTACCCTTCAACAGGAAATAAATTCTTTGGCCCAACTAAAATGTTGATGAATCCCTACCTTTAGCTTAATTTAAATCTAATTCTAGTATCATCTTACTTTGGGGGTCAGGTGTGGGAAACAGTCAGGAATGTTGAGAGTCACTGTAGTATAATGGAAAAAGCACTAGATTTGGAGTCAGAAAAAGCCTAGGTCCAAATCCTGATTGAAACAGTTACTAGTTATGTCACTTGAACTTTCTATGCCTCAGTTTCCCTACCTGTAAATTAAGGATAATACCATCTCAGGTTAAATGACTTGGCAAGCTCACATGGCTATTAAGGAACAGGTCCTTCATCTTGTTGTCCAATATTCTTTCCAATAAACCAGGCTACCTCCAGTGACAGACACAAGAGGAATGAAATGTTATGTTGATGTTATGATGAACAAAAATGGAACTTATATCACAGGCAAAAGATCGTGAAGCAAAGTCACTATATGTAACTCAAAGGCAAAGTATCAGAAATGGAAACTCTCAATAACTTGATGAAATTATAATTCCATTTATTTTGACATAAGTTTAAAAGGAGTATTGCCTCAAATCATTTTTTGCGGTTATCATAGATTTCATTAAAAAATATTGTGATAATCCAAAGAGATCTCAATTGGGGTAGGGAGAGGAAGGGACTCTCTCTCTTGACAGCCAGTACTCACCGAAGGCAAGCTGCCTTTGGATAAGCCACCTCCTCCTAGCTTTTCTGGAAATTTCTATGCCCCCCATGCTTTCATTTCCCATTTGTTTCTTTTGGCCCTCCCTTAGCCAGTCTCTAGCGTCTCCCTTCCTATGACATCAAAGATGAGAAACTAACCAGTCACAAACTTTGTCTGGCTAAGACAGTTTCCTCATCTGCATAAAGAGGAAAATAGTAACACCACACTGCCAGACTTTTATAAAGATAAAATGAGATGATATTTGTAAAGTACTTTGCAAACCTTAAAGTATTATATGAATGCTAATTATCATTATAATTATCCTATTAATAATTAATGATAATGTAATTATTAATAACATTATTTGGGAGTTTAATCTCAATGCCCAAGGCATTCCCTTACGTGAATTAAAACACACCATAATATAGACCCATTGCCTTATATACTAATGGCTTGTCTGATCCTTTTGTGAAATTCCCTCAAAGTATGCTGGTATAGACTAAAACAAACTGAACCATTAATTCTCAAGATAGCAGTACAGTGGTTACATTACAGGGGTTAAGAGGTTTCAGATTCAGATCCTTACCACTGTGATCCAGGACAAAGTCATCTTGGGCATAACGGAATTTTTCAGGTCCACAGGCAATAAAAACATCATCATCACCAAAAAAGTCTTGTAGGCAAGTAACCTGAAAAAAACACGGCCACAAACAAAAATGTAAGTACTTTTAAGTGAAAACAATATGGAAAGGGGAAAAACTGATACTTACAAAAGCAGAACAGAAGGTTTAGAAATAGTACAGAAATCTCAGTATTTTACACAGAAAATGTACAGCATCTCATACACTTTCCTATATTGCTTTCTACTACTTTCTTATTTGTTTTTGGTTTTTTGCTGGACAATGGGGTTAAGTGACTTGCCAGGGTCACACAGCTAGTAAGTGTCAAGTGGGGGCAGCCAGGTGTAGCCGTGGATAGAGCACCGGCCCTGAAGTCAGGAGGACCCGAGTTCAAATCCAGTCTCAGACCAAACACTCGACACTTACTAGCTGTGTGACCTTGGGCAAGTCACTTAATCCCAATTGCCTAAAAAAAAAAAAGAAAGAAAAAAAAGTGTCAAGTGTCTGAGGCCAGATTTGAAATCAGGTACTCCTGACTCCAGGGCTGGTGCTCTATCTACTACACCACCTAGCTGCCCCTTACTACTACTTTTTAAATTTGATTTCATGGGGGATATGCTAACTCTGCCTTTTAGGGTATCTTATAGCAAAAGTTCTGTTACTTTTGATAATGCTTTAGGGTTTTGGGTTGGGGGGGTGAGGGGGAAATCAATGAAACTGGAAGGGGTATTAGAAGTCATTCAGCCCAAGTCCCTCATTTTACAGATGGGAAAACTGAGATCCCAAAACGGCAAAGTAGTTTACCCAAGGTCAATGAATAGTAAGTGTTAGAGCTCGAATTTTAATTCCGGTCCTGTGACTGACTCCAAGTTTCAGCATTCTTTCTAGTCCACCAAATTGTTGAGATTTGGTGAGACACATTGGGTCACAGTCTCCAATGTCACAATAACCAAGGAAGGCAGATGCTTTTTATTATCCTTGTTTTAGAATTCGAGGAAATGGAGACAAACAGAAATTAAGCGACTTGCCCAGAGTTAAACAGCTAGTAAGTATCTGAGGGCAGATCCGAACTCGGGTCTTCCTGTAGCGCTCTATCCACTGTGCCACTAGCTGTCTTTTCTTAATACAGGACCAACTTACCTCCTTTTCCAGTCAACTATCATTCTATAAGCTATGCTCAAGGCTTTGTACTAAACACAAGGGGTATAATCAGAAAAGTACAACAGTTCCCCTAATTACTGAAGGGATTTAACATTTCCATAGATAAGTAAGTAAAAGATATATGCAAAATAAATATAGTGATATGAGATAGGGGAAGAGCCTTAATGACTAAGGAGATGAAAGAAAACCTATTCAAAGAGACAGTCCTAGAGCTGAGCCTTAAAGGAAGTTAAGGGTTCCGGGAAGTGGGAGAAGGGGAGGAGAACATTCTAGGCATGGGAGACACCCATGAAAAGACATGGAAGTGAGAAATTGAATGTTATGTAATGGGACAGTAATAAGGCCAGTTTAGCTGAAGCATGGAGCGCGTGTGAGGGAATACCATCTATAATCAGCCTGAAGAGATAGGTTGAATCCAGACAGGGAAGGTGGGCACAGGTTATCCTCAACACAAGTGTTCATTTCATCCTAAAAGCAACAAACAGGTAGCCACTGAAAGTTTTTGAGCAGGGAAGGGATGTAGTCAGACCTGCATGTCACGACTATCAATCTTGATAGCTATATAGAGGGTGGATTGGACATGAGAGAGAAGGGATGCAGGAAGACCTAACTGGAGGCTACTGTAATACTCAAGTTGAGAGTTGATAAAAGCTTATACTAGGGGGAGTTCTGATATGACTGAAGGGCGATGAGGGATACTATTCCCAGTGATGACTTTTTAAGGGGCTTCTCATACTTCAGGTATCTCTAAAGTCTATTTGCGCCCAGCATCTCCTCAGGATTACTTGTATTTCTGATGCTTCCAAGATCACAACACTACATAATCACAATCACATAGTATCAGCAGGAGAATAACAATGGTAAAGAAATGGGCTTTCATGGCAGTGGACAGTTTGGAATCACTGAAAGAAAACATCATTCAATTTCTCAAATTTAGCCCAATATTTTCCTCCTGTTCAATTCCTGCCTCAGATGGAATTATTAAAATATTGATTGAGAATCTAATTTTTTTCCCACATGTTAAAGAAACAAATCAATTTTTACCCGTGCTTTCCTTTTTTCCTTTTCATTTCTATCTGAATCATTTAATTCTCAATTCTGATAGTTAAAAAAAGGACAGGATTTTATTTTATTTGATCAAATAGGATTTGATTCATTAAGTAACCTTTCATGGCAAACATGAAAATCATATCACTTTGTAACACATTTACACCCTGCATGGGATGATGCTGTTCTTTTGATTATCTAAACAGGTCTTTAATTTTAAAAAAAATATATATTGCAAAAAAATATTTCATATGGTGCTAAATTGGTTGATATTTATCTCACTAGAACAAATGATTAAGCTCCTGATTATGCCTAGCTGACAGTATTTTATAAATCTGGGGACTACAGCTGAGTAAAAAAGGTGGCTCACACTTTTACAACAATTCTATTTAGTGCTTCGTGCTTTGGGTATCAAGTGCCTAATCTATCTTTTAATGATTTCACCACCACCAGCAGTATGCATTTCTGAGTTTGGCTTACACCAACAAGGCAGCAGGTGGCACGCTTCTCTTCGGTGAAAGAAAAAGCTGCAGGCTTCAACTGTGCTCAAACACTGTGTGCAATTAAGAGTTCATGTTTCTGTAGTGCTTTATGGTTTACAAGGCACTTCCTCAAAATGACATCCTGACTGAGGTGGTTCAACAGTTATCCCTGTTTAGCCCATGAGCAAATGGAGACTCAGAGAGGTTAAATAATTTGCCTAGAGTCACACAGCTAGTAAGCATCAGAGCTGGGGTTTGAGCCAAGGTCTTTAGATGTTAAGTCTGGTGTTCCTTTTACTAGTTTGTGCTGTCTTATGGATTGCTTCCCACCCTTACAAAGCAGGAGAGGGGATTGTAACAATAGCTTGCATTTACATAGGACTTTAAGGATTTGTAAAGCTCTTTACATGTTATCTGCCTTATGACAACCCTGCCAGGCAGATACCGTCTTTATAGATTTCCACACACACCCCTCTATTTTACAGATAACAATAACAATAGTCCAGATTTATATATCACTTATTATGTGCCAGGTACATAGTAGGCGCTATATAAACATCTATAATCATTTTCTCATTTGATCCTCACAACAACCCTGAGAATTATCCTCATTTAACAGATGAGGAAACTGAGGCAGACATGTGCCCAGAGTCACACAAGTAGTATCTAAGGCAAGATTTGAATTCAGGTCTTCCTGACTCCAAGCCCAATGCTCTATCCATTGGAATATGTAGCTGCTTCTAGAAGAGACACATGCTGATAAAAAAAAAAACAAACATGCATCCCATTATCTCAATTCAGCAAAATATAAAATGTTAGACTATTGATAAACATCTCAAAATGTCAAAATCTATCTGCATAAATTACCAGGAAATCATGGGTCAAAAGCCACTTTCCTGATCCCCCTGCCTGTTAATTTTTTTATTTCTTGATAATACTAGGCATATATTCTGTGTACATACTGTGCCCAGCTAGCAGAATGGAAGCTCTTGGGGAACAGAGGCTTATCTCTCTAGTCCTTGTATCTCCATTGCTTAAGGCAGCTAGGTGGCGCCATAGTGCACAGAGTGCTGGGCCTGAAGTCATCTTCCTAGCTTTGTGACACTTAACTGCATGACCCTGGGAAAGTCACTTAACCTTTGTCTGCCTCAGTTTCTTCATCTGCAAAATTAGGATAATAATACTTCCCTACCTGAAACGGTTGTTTGAAGATCAAGTGAGATACTCTTTGTAAAGCACTGAGCACAATGCCTGGCACACAGTAGGCACTATATAAATACTAACTGATGTTGCTCGACAAGAATGATACCATTAGCCTAAGCTGACTCAATCACATAAAAACGTGCAAGTCATTTTGGAGGCCTCTTTTGAATGTTAGCATTCAGAGGCTACAAAATATTGGCCTAACGAGGTATTTTCCTAGTTGGCACCCTCTCAAAGAGACTTCTTTGGTTAGGAAGTCTGCTTAATGGCATCCCTGTTTCTCCTCTGTATAAGTGTATAGGGGGGATTTCCAGCCATTTATTGCTAGAACTCCCCAGCCAGCAGCCCATCTCAGGTGCATGTTCTTCTGTTCCTCTGGATAGCTCTTAGCTTTCAATGTTCCAGCACAGTATTAAATAATCACTAACAATAATGCTGATCGTAGAAGCTGAGATCTGGAATACCCCAGCTTTGGCCGGGCACCAAAGTGCTAAGCAAGTCAATGAATACACATGCAGTAATGGCTATGGCGGCATGGAAATCAGCCTCGGTAATAAAAAAATAAAAATAAAAAAAGACAACAGGACGGATTCACCATCATTTGCCATCTGGTAGGTGGTGGTCTCTGACTGCATCCCATCTCTAGGGTAGCATAAGGGGTTTCAGGCACTCCCTAAAATGGCAGCACCATCTCCAATCAGACAAAGCATTACTTATGGAAAGAACAGAAGAAGGCATCCATCCCCTATAGTTTTTTTCAAAGCTCAGAGAAAATGAAAACGTTATAAGCAGAAACTCATCAAATATTACATATAGTTGCAGCTGAGCAGGCAGTTAAAAGATTGCATGACGGCAGATGGTAAGAACAGGTTTCATTATATAAACAATGAGTAAACAAGGGATAAAATTGGAGCAGTTTTTTCTTCTCCATCACCACTGGTGTATAATTCCAAGTCCATTGTCATTTCTTCCCCACAATGAAAGCACGTAGAATGTTTGACTTACAGTCATTGCTGTATTTCTTTGACCTGTAACTTGAATACATTCTACAAAAGAACACCAGGTGGCACATGTCAGTGAGTCTTATGTTATAGCTAAGGATTCACCAACGGTTAAGGTCCACATCATGGAAAAATTACCAGCAAGTTCACAGAAAAGGGTTTGTTTATATTTCTA